TTATTTTTGTAAACACTTAAATTCATTGAGTTAATGCACAGCATTAAATGTCTCTCTTTTGGTAACGGAGGGCTAAAGTATCACTTGGGCAAACAAATGTACTCTTTTTAGCAGAACCAATGTGATGGCTCACACTGTAACAAGCTTTTTTACTGTCTCCTATACTATTATTCTGACTAGATAAAGAAACACCTGCAAAGAAATGCATTATTCAGGATTTAGAGCATCTAGGTACTGCAGTATACTACAATTAATGTTCTTCATTGAAATGAAGACACTCGGTTGAGCAAACACTCACCTCTACTTAGGTTATCAGGTTCTTGAATAACTTTTGGTAAAGTCACTATTATGTGATTTGATTGATTTTGGGATGTTGATTTCAACGGAGAGTACAAACTTTCTTTGAGACACTGAGTTCTACATGAATTGTTGGAGGAAGACGGACAAACTGGACAAGTGCCATGTCCACCTTCATCTTTATGCAATGGTTCTAAGAATAATCGTTCATTAAGCACATAGTGCTTGACACCTAGTAAAAAAAATATAAAATCTGTGTTTAAGTTCATATCCTTCCAATTTTTAGAAAGCTAGTAGAAGCATTTCTTGCATACATTCATGATCAGCTGGTGAAGTTCCCTCACATGTTGTTGCATGACAATCAGACCAGTGGGATTCCCTAAAGTGCTTTACTTTGTCAAGCAAATTAATCTCTGGCTCATTTTCATACTGTCTTGAGGGACAGATTTCAGGTATTGTAGCATGAGCGTAATTAACAGAAACCTACACCAGCACAAATATGAAAAATCAATATTAGAATGGCCTTAACTAACTAATGTAAGTTCAAAAAGCAATTTACCTCTGATGAGTTTCCTGATGGTAATGCAGATAAGTCATCCATTTTGGACCATTTCCTGTCAAATTGGTCACATGTATCAGCCCACCTCACTGCTCTCAAGTTTCTTGGAACTGAGGCTGCACGATATCTTTGTTGCTTCACCCTAGTGTAAAATTGTTGAGTACAATGATTACCATACTTTAAACAATTTTTCAGTCAGGAATTATTTTTTGCACTACCACCAAAGTTTTACCTTGTTGGAATTCGTTGTTTTTGGCTGTAAAGCTGAACAACATATTTGCTGTCTGCCTTGGCTTGAATATTGTTTTCTTGGGTGCAATAGCATTTTGATATAGCATGTGAGTGGGTTGGTGCATGCATTTGAACTTCTGCAGCACGTTGCTGTTGCAGTGAAATTGACTTGAGTCTTTCAGATGTCCTGGAATCACTCACATTCTTCTAAAAAGGGGCAAGAAAAAAATTAATTGATGTGAATGTGTTCTTCAGTTGCGTTACAAAAATTTTAACTACCTTCATATTGTTCTGTGAGTTCCTCTTTAGATAGCTGTTTTGCGTTCCAGAAATAACATCATACACCTTAGTATGAGTTGGATCTCCTGAGCTCAGAGTGGACTGAATTCCAGAAAAGTTGTCATGACTGTACGTTTGAGTCAGTTGTTGAAGTACACTTTGGTCCCCCAAAACCATATGACGACTAGTATCACTGCACTGCTGCAGAGAAGAATTATGGATATCAGTCCTGTGCGCAGTGTTCCTCTCTAACTCTGGCCTTAAAAGATGACAAGTTGACATATTTTGGTTAATTATCTGAAGTTTTCAATTTTGTTTTCAGATGACTCATGCTTCAAAGCACTTACCCAACATTATAATTTTTTATTTGGTCACATAATTTTAGATCAAGAGCTTCCAGAAGATCTCTATTTTTCCTGCGGAGTGCTAAGGTCCTGGGACTTAACATCTCAAACCAAAACGCGCTACATGAGGGCGTAAGGTAACCCACCCACAATTAACTATCTTTCAATCATCAGCCGGTAAAACGTCAAACGTGACCATTCATTCCCTTCGTTTTTGTTTGACGTTTCATCAACAACAAACAGTGGTGCAAATAATAAGCTGTATGTGCATCTTCAGTTAATATTGCTATTGGTCGATTTGCGCCGCAACGCCTGGAGTGAGGCTATACCATTATGGACAGGCAGTCTATGGAAAATTCGAACCCCATCAGGGTACTTATTTCCAATTTGATGAATGGGGATGACGTTACTTTTTCTAAATTTATGTTTACTCCATTGCTCACACGCTCATTGATATCGTTCGTGGGCCGGCCAGAGCCAAAGTTCCTCAAGGGTACGAGCCCCTGTGAGGCGTGAAGGCCGTCAACGTCAACGCACGGCTGCACCACCGACGGGAAGTGCCGCAAGGGCCACCACTACACCGAGTGTCGACCGCCCCGCAAACGGCTTTTTGGGCTCGGTCCCCCAAAAGCCAGTGGGGACGGAGGGAAAAGTTGCAATCAACCTAATCTCTTCGACAAAAATGTTAAAGACGTGCGGAGACTTTGCGGGTGCGATAGGCGACAAATACTTGCAGCTCTTAGTTTAATAAACAAAATTCGTCAACGACTACAACGTGGGGGAAAAAAAAAAGATGAACCCCCTTGGGTTGTGCTTGTTGGGTCCAGGCGCGTCCTCGCGGCCGTCATGTGATCGGCGAGCGTGACTAAGCCATGATGGAGGCTGCACCAGATCTGTCGGATTAGAGGCGGAGCACCTCACCTACACCTACGCGCTGTTCGGCGGCGTTGTGTGTGTACCGGCAGCGGTGTGTACGGGATGGGCCGGCCGCCGCCGGGGTCTCTGCCCTTCCCCTCCAGTCCCCACTGACCCACTGACTGACTGACTGCCACTCATCATCCCCTTCGCGTCATAAGCACGTTCGACACGATGGGAGACGCGCGACCGGACCGGACCGGACGGCGCGATAGGTGCGCGCTCCGCCCTCCGTGTGACAACATGATATATGTCGCACGATGTGGCCACCATACTGAGAGAGGTCACTAAAGCGTTTCACTACTGACCGAAAGTGTCGTTCTAATCTAGACGCACGTACATACGTCCCTCACCCTCACTCACGGTCGCGCACACGCGTCGAGGTGGTTTCTGGAGGCGCCTTGGGGTAGGCAACCCATCCTGCGCGGGCGTTCCCTCTGCGGTCGCGAGTGACCGCTCGCCATACAGCGCACATGCCTTCTGTGAGTGTGTGTGAGACAGAGAGAGAGAAAGACGATGACGGGCGTCGCGAATGTGCGAGCGAAGCGTCGTACTTTGCAAATTCGCGGGAACGGCCCGCGGGGAGGCCACATAGTGGTCGGCGCTGCACTTTTGCCATCATCACACACTACTCAGCTTGACGTGTGCGCCGCGCCGGCCGGCCCTCTCCACCACACAGCACAGTCATGCTTGTGCGTCCACCTGGCTTGCAGGAGCGGGGACCGCCAGCAGCAGCAGCAGCAGCAGCGCCAGCAGGGTGAATCGGATGCGGACCGGATGAGCGCGCCGCGCCGCCGTCCCATTCGTCCCATTCACGCGTCCCGCGCCCGCCCCGCCACGCCGGCTGCCCGCCGCTGCCGCTGCTCGCTTTTCTGGGCCAGCGCTGTTCTGCTTTTGGGCCTTTTTGCAAACGCTTGTCCTGGGCGGGGCGGGGCGGGGCGCCGCTCCTGCCCTGCTGTGCGCCCCGACCCGACCCCATTCCGCTCACTGCTGCGGTGCGGTGGTGGGCCCGGGCCGGCCCCGCAGCGTGGCCGGCGCCTGCCTGGGACACACGACCTCGTCGCGCGCGTCTTCACGACAAGGGGTTCTTTACCCTCCATTAAAATCAGAAGAAGAAAAGAAAACAGGAAAATAAAAGAAAAAAGTTAGCTAAAAAGTAAGAAAAAAATTCCAGGAATAATTAAGGGAAGGTCAGTTTAAAATTTAAAGAAGAAGAGAAAAGTCCGCGTACGTTTGAATTTAGGGTATGAAGTAGCACTCGGCTACCCGCAGCCATGACCAGCTCCAGGCCCAGCCTGAGCTAGTACCTTGAAGCTGCGGGGTCGAGGCGTCGACGAGTAGAATAACTGCCGAAAGGAGTGACCACCTCGGTGCCCACCGAGCGAGAAAGTCAAAAGATGATTATTTAATGTCTGGATGTGTGACTCGAAAATGTCCGCAACGAATCCGATGCGGACGAGCAGACCGGAGCATAGAGACCAGCTCGCGAGCCGGTCTAGCCCATGGGCCCATGGGCCAAGCTGCGCGAGCGAGCCACCCGCTGGGCCCAGCGGGAGAAAGCTAAAACACACACACACAACAACTCGCACACACGCTGGGTCGCGGCGGGCGGGGAGCGCCATAGTTTTAGCCATTGAGTAACTATTTGATGGATGGGGGGTGCGAACACCGCGCCGCCCCGCATCGCACCGCTCTGCGCCGCGCCAAAGCCGCTCGCGGAACGAATCGCGACGACGCGATAAGACGACGATGGACGACGGCTCATGTGCCTCAGGTTGCGAGGGACGGTGCGTGTGGAAGTATTATTACTTTATTGATTTCTCTGGAAAGCGAAGTGTGTACGAATGTCGCACCTGCAAATGAGTGATAAAAAATCACACACTTGCTGGTGTGCGAATTTTTTTTCACACGACTGCAGGTGTGGATGACTCTTCACACACTTGGGGTAATGGCTACATTTCCAAGTGTATAAATTTTTATTCGCTCACCTACAAGTGTGCGACATTCGTACACTGGAATCTGCATGAACCTGTGAAGGACAATTTTTTAAAAAGGAAGGCGCTTATCAGTTTTTCTCACAGCCGGCATCACATATGATATAGCAAAAGGAACTGTGGGCTGTGTACTGTACTGTGTAGCCTCTTCTGGGATGTATCATCAGCGCAAAAAAGAATTCGTAGTTTAAAGTCTAAAATTTAGGCTGATGACTGATACAGCCAGCTCCTGGTCCTGGTATTGTACCCCATTTCCCAATATCTTGCCTTAAGAAAGGCCGTAGAAACTGCAAGTCGTACAAAATGTAGGTCCGTTTAAAATATTATACGCACCCTTCAGAAATGCCAGGTTGTACAAACGACGGCGGACCGCATACCCACCCACCCCCTCTGCACCCCTCGTGATTTAACACCGCGTTGTGCTGGTCATTGCCGTGCATCCTCTCTCTCTCTCTCTCTCTCTCGCTCTCTCTCTCTCTCTCTCTCTCTCTCTCTCTCCCTCCCTCCCTCTCGCCGCCGCCCGGGGCTGCCCGGCTGGCTCAGCGTAGCCGACCAGTCAGTCGCCGCTCGCCCGCCACCGGCTCCAGTCGCTCCGCTCGCCCAGCTCCGCTCCGCACTGCGACACAACAACAACGCCGTCCCGCCGGCTCTCCCGTTCGAGCGGCGCTCTCTTCTCCCCTCTCTTTCTCCCTCTCACCTGCTTCGCGGGCCGCAGCAGAGTCGCGAGAACACGTGAGTGTCTATTTGTTCGACTGTCCGTAAGAGAGAATTGTGTGTTTCAGTGTGTGTCGGTTGTCACGTCATTTTATGCCCTTTATTTGAAATTTCGTGAAGAGAAGCAGAAATTTTCTTTCTCTAGCTTCCTAATAGTACCTCAATGTAATTCATTTGGTCAAAGTTACTATTTTGCTCGTCATTTCCTCAGTCGCGCCCACTGACATAATGGTTTTCCCTATGGTCTTCCCTAAGGTCTTCCCTACGGTCTGCCCTATGGTCTTCCCTATGGTCTTCCCTATGGTC